GAGGCCCGTGTACCGCAAAAAAAAACAAAAAAAGAAATGTCACAGAAATGTCTGAAGACGATGATTAATCCCAGCCTCTTTGTTCTTCCCCTTAAAAAAACCCCTAACTCAGAGACCATGTGGGAGTGGATCTGAGGCTTGTCTCCTTCTCCTTTACTTGCTGCCCTGCAGTAAATCCTTACTTTGCTGCAAACTCCTGCTGGCAGAGTTGGACTTTCTGCATGATGGGCCCACAAGCCCTTTGCTCAGTGACAACTATAGTTGATAACACTTTATTGTATAATTGAAATTAGCTGAGAGAGTAGCACTTAAATTTTACTCACCAAAAAACTTCTCATCAAAAAAAAAAAAGATAAATATGTGAGGTGATGGATGTGTTAATTAACTAGATGGGAAGAATCCTTTCACAATGGATACGTATATCAAATCATCACGATGTACATTTTAAATATCTTTTGGTAAAATCTTGCATCTGTTTAAAAATTGAAGTATAGTTGATTTACAATGTTTATACTTTAAATACCTTACAATTGTGTTTGTCAGTTATACCTCAATAAAGCTGAAAACAATCTAGAGATAGAAGTGTAAACATATTATTTAGAGTTATAGAAGTAAATGTCAGAGAAATAAATAGCTTTGGGAAGGGGATGGCCCCAGCAAGAGGGTCTGGGGATGGACACAGTCACTTCTCATTATAACCTCTTCTGCAGAATTTTTAAAGTGTATTTGCTCTGCGTATTTAGGATTTCCTGAGTTATTTTCAGAATGGCTGCCTCATGCCTCCAAGTCCTCTGCAGTGGCTCTGCATTCATCTATACAACAACCCCTCAGGGAGCTATTCATAGAAGAGGAGGTATTTAGGGCTCCTCTCCAAACAGGTAAGGAAACTGAGGCCCCTGTCACATAGGCGAGCCTCCGCCTTCCTGGAGACTCTCAGTTCAGGCCCTTCTCCTGCCTCACAGCACAGTCTCCTTCTCTCAAAGCCAGACAGCTGTGAGAGTTTCACAGCTAGAGGAGAATGTTCACAGGTATTTTGCTTTTATTTGGAGAATGTGGTAGAGATGGAATTCGCAGCCCCTTTTTACAGGTATGGAAGGTGAGCCTGGGGGCTCTCCTCCAGCGCTGGGGCCAGTTTGGAGGAGGAGAGTCAGGGCCTCGAGGAGGCCCGTGGGGAGGGGCAATCCACAGGTTGCTGGACTGCCGAGGAGGAGATGGGACTGGGGCAGCTTCTCAACAGAGCCCAGGCCCCCGAGGCATTGTGCGGGCACCGTCTCATCTCAGTCTCCTGCCCTGAAGTGCCATCCCTTTCTTAAGAGCTTCCCCCCTGAGATGAGTCATCCTCAGGGCTCCGGCTGGGCAAGGAGTGGACAAACCCATCTAGGGGACATCCTGGAAGAGCTGGAGAGGAAGAGGAAGGTGACTCAGTGGCTCAAAATGTGGCCTCTGTCTGCCAGCCTCTTCCTGAGGTGCTGGACAGAGCTCTGGCTGCCCTCCCCTCCCCAAACGTTAGCAGTGGCCAAAATGTCTTTTCACCTGAGCTGTGGTGTCAGGGCCCAGGCCCAGGTGGTTTCCTGAATCTTACAGCCAAAGGAGATAACACAAGGCTGGGAAGAACCTTTGGGAGGATCCGGTCTAAGCCAGGCCGGAACCAAGGCCCCACGCCCCCTGGTTTACTGCTCTTCTCAGGACTCCATGGTAATGGAGTAATGGTGTAAGGGTGCCTCTGGCCTGAGCGGAAGAGACCTAGGGAGGGCACGTCCTCTCCCTGCAGCCCTCAGAGCTGAGACTCTCTCCTCTGTGTTGAACAGATGGATAAATGGAATTCATAGGAATCTGCCCCACTTCTTCCCTAAAGGAGACCCACAGTTCTTCCTCCTTATGTATCCTGTTCTACTGTTTTCATTTGAAAAACTCCCTAGGTTGCCTGATCTAAATCTCCCACTCTGCAATTTAAATGGAGCAAAGCACACCTCACCCTCTGCTAACCGTCCCACCCTCCTTGCTTTGCTTTTTTTTTAAAAAAAATATTTATTTTCTTTATTTATTTGGGTATTTTTGTTTGTTTTTTATTTTTGGCTGCGATGGGTCTTGCTGCGGCGTGCCAGCTTCTCTCTAGTTGTGGCCTGAGGGTTTTCTCTCTCTAGTCGTGGCACACAGGTTCCAGGGCGCGTGGGATCTGTAGTGTGTGGCATGCGGACTCTCTTGCGGAGGCGTGTGAGCTCAGTAGTTGTGGTGCAAGGGCTTAGTTGCCCCGTGGCACGTGGGATCTTAGTTCCCAGACCAGGGATCGAACCCACATCCCCTGCCTTGGAAGGCCGATTCTTTACCACTGGACCACCAGGGAAGTCCCACTCCTTGCTCTTCCTTCCTACTCATCCCAGTGCAGAACTGGCTACATAATTTGTGGGGTCCAGTGCAAAATGCTGGGCCCTTTTTTCAAACATGATTAAGAATTCCAAGATGGTGCCAGCAGAGCATTAAACCAAGCGTGGTGTCTGTACAGGTTGGACACCCACGAAGTCGGCCCTGCCCTAGTATCAAGAGCAATGCTTGAACTCAATATTCATAGCTTGTCCTGAAAGGTCAAGTTGTCCAATCCCCTGCCTTCATGTCACCTGCCTTCCATAGGTGAGAGTCTCCTTGAAGTTTCACCCCACATACCTTTCCTAGGATCTCCAGGCCTCTGCTTCACACACTGCTGGGAAATTCTTCTAAATGTCTAAATCTAACTAAGTCTTGGCCCTTTACGCCTGTTTCCTCTTATTCTGTCCTCACTGTATATGGGGAACAGCTGGTCCTTTTGAATAATTAATTCTTGTAGACTTGGACGCAGTCTGTAATTCCTTTTCCCTTTCCTCATTGGGCTGAGTCTCCAGTGCTTTCTCCAACTCTGTGTCCCTCCTCTGATGCCTTCCCCAGGTCCTCTGTGTTTTGTGGAAAGCATGGAGTCCACAGGAAGCTCCAAAGCACACCCGTCAGGGTCCACAGGGCTCCATGCTCTGGAGAGGTGGGGAGACTCCAGCACTGAGGAACAGCCACCCTGCATCGGGCCCCATCTTCCTCCTCCAAACCCTGCTCTCCTTTCATCTGTTTCATGAACTCTTCCCAGAAAAAGTCCCCCATCCCCACAGACTCTCCCCAGCGATGCTCAGTTCTTGTCCATCTCGATGTTTCTGCTCTCAGTGTGTGTTTCAGACTGAATGCTTCCCTTGGGGAAGCACCCCCCCCCCTTCCACCTCTCAGGACACAGATCCGTGGGCTGGGATTGGGAAGGGTTTATCATAAACCACAGCAAGGCATGGGGGAGAGTGGATATGAAAGATGGACACCAGCCACACTCCCAGTTCTCCAGCTAATAGTGTGCTAAAGCGGCCACTATAATCTGAAAGAGCAGATACTGTAATCCCATAGTACTTCCTATTGGCTGCAGGACACAGTTCTGCCCTGACACTGAAATTTGGGTGTGCCTTGGTTCTGGAATTCACAAGGCTCACAAGTTGTGAAGCAGCTGTGGGTGGGGGCTGGGAAGGGTTTCAGCAGAGGAAGTGAGGTCAGTCAACAATTGATGCTCGTCTGAGCCTTTAGTCATTGTCTCCCCCAGCCTCTATTCCTGTCGGAGAGGGTGTGGAGGCCTGGGAGGGATGCCCTGGCCCATCTTACAGAATCCGCATCTTAGAGCAAGACACCTTAGAAGTCTGCTTCTGCTTCTAACACCAACATCTTTCCACCTGGCTCTGAGGCCATCACCTCCCCAACCTTTTCATTTATTAATTTAATTAAACACTTTCATGGAGGTCCTGTGCCAGGCTCAGCCATAGCATCTTTGCTGTGAACTAAGATAAGCATCATGTCCCTTCATTCTCCGGACAACCCTATGAGGCTGGCACTGTTTATTATGCCCATTTAGCAGATGGGGGACTGAGGCATGGAGAGGTGTCACTTGTCTAGGGTTATACAACTAGTCTGGATTCTGACTTCAGAGTCTTTGTGGATAACCTGGAGGCTAGGGATAAAGTGGAGTCCTACCTTCAGGGTGCTCACAGTGGTTGGAGCAAAGCAAGACAACAATGTCACTGTTCTGAGCCCAGGCAAGGGCATGAGGAGGAAGGGTTTTGCTTCTCTCTCCAGGAGAAGCCATTCTGCTCCCCTCCCCAAAGCATCTTGTCCGCCCTGTCCCAGCAGTGTCCTGAGGGAGGCTCCCCGTCCCCAACTCTAAAGCTCCATTTGGTGGGGTGAGGGGCCGGCCTCGAAGGCGGCAGTCCACGGCAGTTCCCAGCCTCTCCCTCCATTCTGACCGCCCGTGGTGCAGAAAGGCATCCCCGTCACTGAGCTGTGCTACGGCGGAGGGGCTCAGACCGTCACCCCTGACTCAGAGCTGCCCCATCTGGGCCTGTTTACCCTGCGCTGAGCGCTGATCAGTGAGAGGCTGCGGAGGGGGGCGAAGGGGCCGAGGGAGGAGGCTGAAGGATTTGGACAGAGGGGGGAGTCCCTGAGGGAGGGGGGGCGGGCGGAGCCAAAATATTACGCACCCAGCCAGCCCCAAAGTCTGCCCTTGCTTCTGAGCCTTCTAGAAGGAGGAGCTGGAGTTTTGGGTGGGAAGACAGGTAATTTCTCTCCATTCTGCCCTCCCCGCGTGTCGTTCCCTCGGTGCCCCTCTACCCGTCCAGGATTCCAGGCCGCCCCTCAGCGGCTCTGAGCGGGGAGGGGCACCTCCACCTCCACCCCTCCCCCGGCCGGCCCTCGTACGGTGCCTAGCGTCCCAGCCCTGGCCCCCACGGCTCTGGGCCTGAACCCCGCGAGACCCCCGCGGCCCAAGGCCAAGGCCCGCCCCCTCGGGGAGGCGGATGTGGGAGGCTGGGGGCGGGAGCGCGGCCTTGATCCCGGGCGGGGGCAGCCGAGGGGGATGCCGCCCTCGGGATCTGCAGCCGCGCAGGGGGGGTCCGGCCCTGAGCCCTGGCGAGGGTCGAGCGGGCGGCCGTCGGCTAGCTGGGCAATAGGAAACGGTTTATTAGGAGGGAGTGGTGGAGCCGGGCCAGGCAGGAAGACGCTGGAATAAGAAACATTTTTGCTCCGGCCCCTTTCCCAGTCCCGGGAGGCCGCCGCGCCAGCCGCGCCGAGCCAGCCCCTCCCCGGCCCCAGCCCTGCCCGGGGCCGCGCCCGGACCCCAGACCCTGGCCCTCTGTCCAGCGCCCGTCGTGCGACCGCGGCCGCCGCCGGGGAGGGGAGGAGGCCGCCTGCTGCACGCTCGCGCCGCGCTGCCCGCAGGGCAGGCCAAGAGGTGAGTCGAGGTCCGCGGGCCGGGCCGTTGTGGGGGGGCGGCTGATCCCAACCCCAGTGGGTCCTCCCCATGGCATATCCCATAGAGACCCTCAGAGAGGTCGCTGTAGGGTCAGTCCCAGTTCCTCGTAGTGCCAGCCGCCCCTCGCCCTCCACCAACATCTGCCCATCACCCCACCTAAGACTGGAGGGGGCTGGACCGAACCCGCACTGAGAATCAGAAAACTTTGCTCCTGGGGCCCGTCACTTAGCTTCTCTCATCCTCATCCATAAAATGGGCGGAAGGATCCCTGCCCTCCTTCATTTACAGAGAAGGGGGTCACATGTCCTTCCAGGAACCTGGATTGACCTGGGGGTGGGTGTCTACTCCCAGCACTGTTGAGCCTCCCCTTGAAGCCCATCTTTCCCAGACCAGTCCTGGCCACTCTTGCCAAAGGAATCTGACACTACAACTCCCTCCTCCAGACCTCAGTTCCAACCCTGTGTGGTCAGATAATCCCCAATGCACGGACTTCCTTCAGGATCCAGGTCAGAGGGGATCCCAGTCTCCCTCCAGCCTGGGACCCCAGGTTTTCAGTCTGCCCTGGAGGTCAGTCTGGAGACCAGTGCTGTCATGACCATCCCAAGGCTGGCCACGCACCCCCTCTTTTCTTCTCTAAGGACAGGGGCAGAGTGGACGGTAGCTCTCACCCTCTCTATATGGGCAGCTTCTGGCTGAGTCAGGGTCTGTCTGACATCTCTTACCCCTTACTGTTTGTTTGGCCTGGTACCTGTCCTCTCATCTTATCAGGTCGTTAAAAATAGCTACCATTTATTGAGTACTACTATGTAGACACTTAGATACATTTTTGTCATGTAATCCTGGCCACAACCTAGCAGAAGAGGTGTTATTATGTCCATCCTACAGAAGAGGAAAGAGATTCAGATTTGAATCACTTGTCCAAAGCTCCATGGATGGTTGGGTGTTTAGTAACATTTATTAAGAGCTTACTGTGTACCACTTAGTACTCTGCTAAATAATTTTACTACATTATACCTATGAAATGAGCACTATTATTATTCCCCATTTTTCATAGGGGAGCCGAAGCCTCAGAAAGTTCAAGTAACTCGCCCCAAATCTCATAGCCCTAAGTGGTAGAAGCAGGATTTGAATCCGGGTCTACACGATCCAGAGACCACAACCTGACCTCTGTGCTATACCGTGCTGCGTTCGCATTCTGTCTGAGATCCTAAAATCCAGACCTGATGCTACCTCCCAGCGCTGTGAAGTGATGCCGATGAACGCGCTTTGTGACGGTTAAGGGGCAACCCAGGATGAGCAGCTCAGTCTGGTCCTCTGCTGTACGGTCCTCTGCCGATGTGCAGAGCAAGGCGCTTCCAGCCCCATGACAGTCACTGCTGTGCTGAGCCACTGCTGCTGATGGGAGCCGGTTATGTCAATCCTTCAGGCGTGCTGGGGAGAAAGGGATTGACATCCACCTCCTGAGCACACCTCTACTCTGCTTCTCCCCACCTAGGGCTAAGCCTACAGCAAACATGATTTCTAAACAAACCCGCGTTTGGGTAGAAGCTGATGACAGTTGCAGTCTGTTCACGCAACCCCCGCTTGCTCTTTTTCCTCTTTTGAGGGACCTACCCAACACCAGACAACAGCAGAAATAAAACGACCAAGTGAGGATTTATTACCAGCAATTTAAGCTGAGCAAGACATACCTGGTGATTCTGGGCAAGAAACCTGACATCCCCGAGCTTCCGTTTCCCTATTGGATTGTCGTGAGGACTAAATGAGATCAGCCATCAAAGTTCGGTACTTAGCGCATAAGTATTACTCAGAGGAGGTTAACTCTTATTACTAAGAATTTCACAGTGGTGAGTTAATATTTGAAATTAGTTTAGCATTTGTGATTTCTGGCTTAAAACTGTGATGCTTCAGTCAGCAGGAGATCTTTCAAGAAGTTTTGTTAGACATGAAAGGAGTCCACTGGTCCCCAGGAGTCTGTCTGTGCTAGAGTCAAGTCTCAGGGCGAATCAGGCAGGGTCAGCTCGGAGTTGGGACTGATCTGGACTCAGCACCCTCTTGTACCTAATCTTACGCCAGGCCCGGTTAAAAATTGGACGGTCGCAGTTTGCCTCCACTACATTCCCAGGATTAGACCAGAGGCGGATTCTGCAAATGCTGCCAAGCCCTCCCTGCACTGTTCCTGGGCCCCAGAGGCTGGACATGTCCTGAACAAAGCCCGCGCCCTGCCCTCCCTCCGCCGTGTCTCTGAGTCCCTGGCTTCAGTGTTTAGCCTTGTCTGTCCCTTCTCCAGTAGAAGGGGGGAGAGGTCCCCGGGTAGGAATTAGAGTCCCTGCCCCCTGCACTCCACTCCCACTCACCCAGCGGGGTCCTGCCCAGTGAAATGAAAGCACAGGGACCAGTCAGCATTGTGTAGGACCCACTTCTCAAAGTGTGGTACCCACACAAACTGATCAGAATTACCTGGGGAAATTTTTTTAAATGCATGTTTCTTACTGGTCCCAATGGACTAAATCAGAATCTGGAGTGGGGGTGAGACCAAAGAATGTGCATTTCTAATGAAGCACTTCAGGTGCTTCTGCTGCGGAATTGTGTAGGTGAGAGGGTGCACTGGAGCACAGAGAGGTGAAAGCATGGGTAGAGGATTCTAGAAGGCTGCCAGCTATCATCCTGTTGTTACCCCCTTTTGCTTCTTGCTGCATACTCTCTCCCTAGCTGCTTTCTGGGCAAAGACTGCCAAGGATGGATTCTCGCCCTTACCCCAGTGGGCAAATTCAGCTTGTCTGGGGCTCCCTCTCCAGCCACCAGTCCCACTGTAGAGTGCTTGCCAGACTCCCCACTGCCTTCTGGGAGGCGCAAGAGGCAGAAGGTCAGGCAGAGGCTGGGGACACAGCTGCAGCAGCCCAGGGCTCCGTTTCCTCCCCCAGCCCTGGGCCTCTGGGGCAGAGGAAGCCCAGGCAGGAAGGCCAGAGCTGCCACCAGCCAGAGAGGCCCACGAAGCGCCCCCCTCGCCCCCACCACGAGTCATCCTGCCCTCAGAGCCTCAGCATCATGGATCTTCATTTGGCACCATTCTTAGACTAGGGGCCTTCTGCAGCCTATATGGCCATATGCCCAGCCCTACCAGCCTTACCATGTCATGCCAGAAGACACTGCCCCTCCCTCGTGGCAGCTGCCCCTACCTGGGGATCCAGTCCCCAGGCACACACCTGCATACTCTCCACCATTCAGAAAGTCCTTCTTGCTGTCTGACCTCAGTCCTTCTTGCTGCAGCCTCAGCCCTAATCTTCTCATTCTAAACCTTGGAGAAATGAAGAAGGGGGTGGCTTCTGAAGCACTGGATGGTTTGGGAGCTGAGATGGGGACTGTTATATGTCAGAATTACTCCCCTAATGCTCTCCACCAAACTTCTGGAAAAGTTCAACCAGCCACAGAAGGTCAAACATTCAACATCTAAGTATGTTTCACTTCCCTTCGACATCACTGGCCCTACCCCCACTCTTTCCCAGGACGGCAAGGAGAGAGAAGGGGGCCGGGGAGTGGCTCAGAGAGGGCGTCTTATACTCCGATGAGGGTGCAGAGAGGTTCCTTCACACCTGGCACAGCCCAGCACTGTCCAAGCTTTGTATGGTTGTTACAACCCTGAGGGCTCAGACATGGGCTGCCACCCTGGATTGCGATATGGAGTAGAAAGACACTGGACTGGGAGTCTGGACACCTGGGTGGTACTCCCGGTATTGCCACTGAATCCTGCCTGACCTTGCACAAGCCTCCTCTCCTGACTGAGCCTTAATCCCCATCTTCTCTAAAATAAGAGCTGGGCTTTGTGATTCACAAGGTTTCCTCCTAGGACTCCATCATGGGGGTGCCCCAGCCCCGAGTGGCCCCTGCAGACCCTGTAGCCACTCCAGCCTGCCCTGAGAATATGTCCTGCTCCCTGCTTGTGCGTGACTCCTGCCTGTTCTATCCAGACCCCAATCTAAACAATCTTGATTCCTGTTCCCAGCTTGGCGGGACCCTGAATGGCAGGAAGTGAAGACAGGAGACTGTTTATGTTTGAGGCAGCCAGGCCGGGGGGGGCGGGGGCACTGGGAAAGGGGTGGGCAGGGGTGGAGGCTGGGAAGGGGTGGGCAAGGGGGCAGGGGACAGAGGGTGGTGGTACTGCTGAAGAGATGCCCCTTCTACCCTAGTCCCGTAGTCTCCTTCTGCCCTCTGCACCCTCCAGTCTGAACGCAGCAGCAGGAGAGCTGGGAGTCCCCCAGGCTCTCAGTCACTTAAACATGGCTCCCCACCCTTTACCCCTAACAGGATGGTTTCCATGGGGAAGTGAACCAGGACTTCCCCTGCAGGCCCCTCCCCAAAGCCAGACACAGGGAGGAGGGAGGAGGCCTCCCTGCCCGCCCCCCCACAAAAAAACTCCCAGTGATTTCCTCTGGGTGGGAGGGACCCACGGTCAGTGGCTGAAAACACTGAAGGGATCACATTTCATAGATGTTATTGCACCCCTTCTCCTCTCCAGGGACCATGACCTTGGACCCTCCCAGGAGAACCCTTCTGATGCTACTGACGGCCTTGGGCCTGACCCAGGGTGAGTACTGGGGAGCAAGTATGGGACAGGGGCCTGGGTGGAGAAAGGGCTACCTGGGCTCAGCTCTTGTTGGGCTGAACTTGAGGAGCTGGGGAGGAGGGGGACTTAGGAGCTTGGCTGGAGGGTGGGAGACGGGCTCAGTGGGACTAAGCTCCCGGCTACCCCAAGTCCTCCTGATCCAAACCCGCAGACTGCTGCTCTGTCAGACTCCAGGGTGGGACCTCTATCTGGGGGTGCGGGCAGTGGAGATGTTGGCAGGGAGGGCCTGGGAGAGCCCTCAGAGTTGGGGCTGGGGGCTGGGCTGGGCCTGGAACTGGGAGGGGCGGTCCTAGGATCAGGGAAGGGACAGAAGCCTGGTTCTCCTGGTGGCAGCTGCCCCTGGCAGGGATAAGTCACTGGAGGGAAGGATAATCTGAGGATGGAACTGAAGGACCAAGGCCTCAAAGATTTGAGAGCTCAGAAGCTGGGGGGGGGGGGGGCGGTGCAGGGGGCAGACCTGGGTATTAGGCTCATTCTGGGGAGTTGGGCCCAGAGCAGCTGAGCTTCCAGTGTGTCTCCCAGGCGACCCCGTGAAGCCCTCTCGGGGCCCGCTGGTGACCTGCACGTGTGAGAACCCATACTGCAAAGGGCCTACCTGCCAGGGGGCCTGGTGCACAGTAGTGCTGGTGCGGGAGGAGGGCACACACCTCCAGGAACATCGGGGCTGCGGGAACCTGAACCAGGAGTTCTGCAAGGGGCGACCCACCGAGTTCTTCAACCACTACTGCTGCTACAGCCCCTTCTGCAACCACAACGTGTCCCTGGTGCTGGAGGGTACGTCCAGCTGCTCCAGCAACCTCTCCCTGTCTTCTCAGACTCTGCCCTCCCCGCCCTGCTTGCCTCTCCTCCTCTGGCCTGGAGGGCGGGGGAGGCAGGACCCTGGGATCTGACTGGCAGAGTGGCAAGGTGGGGGGCCTCTGGCCTGGTGGAAGCTGGGTCTCAATGTCCCTCCTGTGCCAGCCACCCAGACTCCGCCAGAGCAGCCGCAAGAAGATGGCCAGCTGCCTCTCATCCTGGGCCCCGTGCTGGCCTTGCTGGTCCTAGTGGCTCTGGGTGCCCTGGGCCTGTGGCATGTCCGGCGGAGGCAGGAGAAGCAGCGGAGCCTGAACAGCGAGCTGGGCGAGTCCAGCCTCATCCTGAAGGCATCCGAGCAGGGGGACAGCATGCTGGGGGTATGGGACTGGGAGAACCGGGGACACAGGGTGGTGAGAGCAGACAGGAGGCACGGAGCCAGAGGGGACCCAGAGTGGCCGGTAGCTGAGAAGGGCACAATGGCGGGCACTCAGAGATTTGACTGGGTGCTGGACGGGAGGGGCTGGTGAGTGAGAAGCCTGGAGAGACACAGCAGTGGGGCCCGGGGTTGAGGAGGGAGAAACGGGTTGGGCGGGTCGTGGCTGCCTCTCAGCGGCCTCTCGGTACTCCCAGGACCTCCTGGACAGTGACTGCACCACCGGCAGTGGCTCAGGGCTCCCCTTCCTGGTGCAGAGGACAGTGGCGCGGCAGGTGGCTCTGGTGGAGTGTGTGGGTGAGCAGTGGGTGAGCCCGGGGGATGGGGACCAAGAGCTCCCATGAGCTTGGAGGGGTGAGGGAGCTCCTGGCCTCCAGCGTCACAGGTGGGGCCAGGCCTGGCTCCGAATGGGAATGCTGCTGGCCAGGGAGGGGGTTGGAGATGGGTCAGTGCCAGACCCTTCTGCAGGAGCTGGGCTGGAGCAAGAGACAATGGGGGTGGCCTGCCGGCTGCCTTTGTGTCTGGATTAAGTTAAAACATAATCATCAGAGGTTCTGGAGATGAAGTCGGTGCAGCATAACGATGGGGACTCTTCTGGGGATTACTGTGCCCATGGGCTCTGTGTGTCCGGTATGTGACCCCCCTCCTTCCTCTCTGGCCGTCGGATCAGGAAAGGGCCGCTATGGCGAGGTATGGCGGGGCCTGTGGCACGGTGAGAGTGTGGCCGTCAAGATCTTCTCCTCGAGGGATGAACAGTCCTGGTTCCGGGAGACTGAGATCTACAACACGGTGCTGCTCAGACACGACAACATCCTAGGCAAGCGGGAGGGTGCGGTGCCAGGCCCCCGGCTCTCATCCCCCCGCACTCAGGGCTGGACCGCCACCTCGCCTCTGGACACTGACCTAACCCTGAAGGACTCCCAGCCGGCCCTCAGCTTCCTCAGCCCTCTGATTCCAGCTTCCTCTCTGACCTAAGCCAGACGAGCCTCCACCCCAGCCCCAGCTTTGCCCTGACCTAGTGCATCCTCTGTCCCCAGCCCTGACCCTGACCCGTCGAGCCTCCTTCATCCCTAGACCCTTGGTGAGCCACCTGACCCTCCGCCCACAGGCTTTATCGCCTCGGACATGACTTCCCGCAACTCAAGCACGCAACTGTGGCTTATCACGCACTACCACGAGCATGGCTCGCTCTACGACTTTCTGCAGAGGCAGACGCTGGAGCCCCAGCTGGCCCTGAGGCTAGCTGTGTCCGCGGCCTGCGGCCTGGCGCACCTGCACGTGGAGATCTTCGGCACGCAGGGCAAGCCGGCCATCGCCCACCGCGACCTCAAGAGCCGCAACGTGCTGGTCAAGAGCAACCTGCAGTGCTGCATCGCGGACCTGGGTGAGCGGGGAGGGGCGGGCTCTTCGCGGGGGGCGGGGTCCGTGAGCTCCTCCCTTTCCACGCGGTACTGCCTTTGCTGGTTTGGATGCCCGGTGTCGGTGAGGACACTGATTGGCGCTTTAAAGCTTACAGACGTGTGTTTGGTCTCATCTCACCTCTCCAAGAGCCCCACAGGTTGCCTTAACGTTCTTTTCAAGCCCACACCAGCTGAGCTCCAGGAGTTAGGAGAAAGGGGCAGGGAGCCAGCAACCTGGGTTCTCATCCTGGCTTCGCTGACTACATCGTTCCCCGTCACCAGGCCTTGGGGTTCAGCTCTGTGAAATGGGCATCATAGTGCCTGCCTCCCCTACTCACACCTCGCTGGGTTCTTGCACCTAGAGGGCACCACACAAGCACAGTGTAACTGGGACAGTTATTCTCCCCGTGGCTGCTGTCTCCCAGCCCACCTCAGGGCGGGTCTCCATGTGCCGGCCCCTCTTATGTCCTACCATCTCTCTCCATCCCACCTCACCCCCGGACCCCAGCCTCCCAGGGGCCACCCCGTCTGTGGGCTGGGATGAGTGGCAGGAGTGACAGGCCCGGTACCCACAGGCCTGGCTGTAATGCACTCCCAGGGTAGTGACTACCTGGACATCGGCAACAACCCGCGAGTGGGCACCAAGAGGTACATGGCCCCCGAGGTGCTGGAAGAGCAGATCCGAACCGACTGCTTCGAGTCCTACAAGTGGACGGACATCTGGGCCTTTGGCCTGGTGCTGTGGGAAATCGCCCGCCGGACCATTGTCAATGGTGAGGATCCCCCCTGCACAGGATAGGGAAAGGGGAATAGGGTGGGTGGATAGACAGGCAGGAGATGGGACTTCCTGCCGTGGCTGGTGCCCGTGGCCTGAGAGGCTTGTGGTCAGGCCTCCCATATTCCCTTTACTGCCACTCACCAGCTGGTCCAGCTGAGTGACCTTTTAAGGTTCATCTGAGTCTGATTCTGGCTGTGAAATCTTGGGTAAGTGACAATAACAAAAGTGTTAAGAGCAGCTAACATTTATTGAGTTTCAACACATACCAGATGCCACGCTGTATACACGTATTACCTTATTGAATCGTTCTTTGTTGGCAGGGAGGTGGTATTGCTTAGTGGTTAAGAGCGTGGGCTGGGAATCAGACTGCCTGAGCTCAGTTCCTGATTTTGCCGTGTGCAAGGTACTTAACCTTTCTGTGCCTCAGTTTCCTCATTTGTAAGATGAGAATAACATAATTTCTAGTTGTTGCGATAATCCAAATGGGGTATTCAGGGCAGCATCTGGAGCTGTTCTGTAGCTCAGTAACTATTAGTGGCAATTACTGTTGTAATGACGCATGCTTGACACAGTATCATCCCTATTTTACAGATGAGGGGATTGAGGCACAGAATTACAGCTGTCTAGAGGCAGCACTGGGGTCTGAAACCAGGCAATCTGACTCTGGGGGCTCAGTGCTCTTTATTACTGTGCTTTTTCTACCTCTCCGGTCCTTGGTTTCTTTGACCGCAAAAATGCGGGATATAATAGCGCTTGCAGTGCCTGCTTATTACTGCCTTACTATTATTATTAGCCAAGCCGTGCAGCATGCGGGATCTTAGTTCCCCGACCAGGGATCGAACCCGTGTCCCCTGCATTGGGAGTGTAGAGTCTTAATCACTGGACTGCCAGGGAATTCCCTGCTGCCTCTTTATTACCGTGGGTGCCACAGGGGACTCAGATTTGGAGGGGCTGAGAGCAGGCGGAGGGACCTCGTTCCTGATGGCTCCATATAGGGGGCCGCCCTGTGGCTGGTGCCCTCCCAGCCCTGGGGTGGATGGGTGTTGGGTGATGGTCTGGACCAGGTGGGGAGGTGATCAGTCTTTGTGGAGGCTGTCCATGGGGAGAGGCTGCTGGGAGTCCTGACAGGTTGGGGACCACCCTCTGGATGGGCTCAGGTCCCTGCCCCTTCAGACATGAGCTCTAGAGGCTGGGGCTGGGGAAGGGGGCACCTGGAAGGAGCCGAAGCCCCTTGGACCAGGCTTCAGGCAGCAAAGGGAGGCTGGAGCAGCCTGGGCTGAGGGGGAGGACGACTGCCGACTCCTGGAGCGGAGGGAAGCTCGGTCGGCCCCACACAGATTCGTGGCACATTATAAACACTGTAATCTGGTGTCAGCCCCGGCGCTGATTAAAGGCCCATTAGACACGCTCAGGCCTCTGCGCAGCACTGACTAGGGCTCGAGCAGCACAGGGGCTGGCCTGGAAGCCCGCCACGGGGAGCACAGCTGGCGTGGGCCCTACCGAGGTTGCGGCTGTGCTGTGTGGCCGCGGCTCCCAGCCGGGGGCTGGAAGCAGGGTGTGGCCTGCGGCGCTCTTCTGGGGTCTGGCCTCTTCTGCCCCAGCGCCTGCAGCTCCACAGCCATCATCTTCTGAAAGCTCCTGCTAAGGACCACGTACTTCAGATGACGAGGGGAGGGGGCGCTGCTGGCTGAAGGGCTCAGCAGAGGCCTGTGCCATCCCTGGGAGTGGATGGATGTGATCTGGACCCGGGTGAAAATCTCTTTCTCTTAGGAGATGTGTTTTCTCCCCCTTTCCCTCATTCCATATCCTCATCCAGCAGTCAGCCAGCCTCCCTTCCTTAAGTGTAGCTTGGAGGTCAAGAGCATGGGCTTTGGTTAGACTTTCTGGGCTTAAATCCTAGCTGTGTCACTTACTACCTGTGTGATTTTAGACAAGTTTCTTCACTCCTCTGGCCTGAATTTCATTGCTTGTATAAAGTGGAGCTAATAGTAGTGCTTACCTCATAGAGTTGTGAGGATTTAATGCCATGCAGTTGGGACGGTGCCTGGCACATAGTAAGTGCTCAGTGAACATTAGGTATTTGGGGGCATCTGTGATAGTTGGGGCCTGGGAGCAGTACCCAGGCCCTGGGTGGGAGGCAGCTGTGGAAAGACTGGAACAAGATCTGGCCTAGGAATACAATGAGTTTAAGTCCTGGCTTTGCCATTACTAGCTGTGTAGCCGTGGGCTCAACTTCTCTGAGCATCAGTTTCTTCATCTGTAAAATGGGTCTTTGGGTTTGCTGTGAAGACCGACAAGATAATGCATGTAAAGTGTTTATGGCACAATGCCTGGCATATATGGTAAATGTAAAATAAATGGCAGTAATTATCATTATTTATAAATATATTTATTATATTATGGTGTCTCTCTCAGGGGTAGCAAGGCCAGGCAACTGGTTTCCTGGACCCTGGGACAGAGGGTGGGCAAGGCTCTCCTCTGGGTGGTATTGGGCCTCCTTGAGGTCCCAAGTGACTGTCCCATTGCCCTCCATCCCTAGGCATCGTGGAGGACTACAGGCCACCCTTCTATGATGTGGTGCCTAATGATCCCAGCTTTGAGGACATGAAGAAGGTGGTGTGTGTTGACCAGCAGACCCCCACTATCCCCAACCGGCTGGCTGCAGACCCGGTAAGGCCTCTCTGGTGGGGCTGGGATGGCGTGGGGTGGTGGCTCACAGCTGGGATTTCTGAGCCCAGGAACTTGTGTCTGGCCTCTGCTTCACCTGGATAGATTCTGGGGGACAGATTCCAGGGTGCTTCTCTGGGTACTCCCTCCCACGTCCCTGCCTGTGGACCTCCGGGACCCTGTGGTTATTCTGGTAACCAGAACCCTTCACCTCGCCTGAAAAGTCAGAGGCTCTCTGCTGCATTTCCTGCCACGAAGTTTTTGTTGTTGTTACTCATTTTTGCTCTTTCTCAGAACACTCCATATACTTATACAGGACACATGCATACGTGTATATAGACACACAGGGGCATGCACGAGCTTCTACACAAACACACACTCACAGGTACACATGCGTGCACATATATGCCAGACTGTTGACCCCATGAAGAGGAAAAGCATGTCTCCTTTGCTGACCCTTATCTCCCTGTTAACCTGTCACAGTGCCTGGCACACAGTAGGTACTCAATAAATGTTTATGGAAAGAATCCACGTACACATGTGTATACATGTATGTATACATAGACACGTGTATATTTCTGCACAACATACAGAGCCACAAAAAGCCACTCATATGCACTCCCGTGCGCACACACATACGCTCTGGCTCGGGAACCGGCTTGAGCTCTGAGGTGGAGTGAGGCTGGCTCACTCTGGGACCGCTGAGATTCCTGGGATAGGTTCCTCCCTAGACACATGCATTTTGAGGACGCAGCCAGGGTTGGTGGAGGTGCTGGGAGCCATTGCCCTCTACACTGGGGTCCCGCTGCAGATAGGCACGTGGGAGCCCCAAGGCCTGCAGATCTCCCCTTTCCCGGATCTTGGTGGAGGTGAGGGTGGGGTGTACTCACCGAAGGGTGTCCCCGAAGATCTGAGTTACATCTCTCTTTCCGTCCTGCCTGCCTCTCTCCATCCCCTTCTCACTCCACTCCCTTCGTCTTCCATGTTTATCTTTCTTCCTCATCCTTGCCTGGTTCCCGCCACTCTCCCTCTTACCACCACTTCTGTCCCTCCTCCCCCCCTCCTTTTCGACACTCTCGTTTCCGTCTTCTCATCCTTCCTGTTCTGCTCGTGTCTCCCCACTACTGGGCATCCTCCTCGCCTCTTCCTTTCCACCTTCCCTGACCCGTGTCTCTGCTTTGTCTCCTCTGCTTCGCTCTCCCTCCCCCCAGGTCCTCTCAGGCCTGGCTCAGATGATGCGGGAGTGCTGGTACCCAAACCCCTCTGCCCGCCTCACTGCGCTGCGGATCAAGAAGACACTACAGAAGCTCAGCAACGGTCTCCAGAGGCCCAAAGTGATTCACTAGCCACAGGCCTGAAGCCTGACTCCCCTCTGCCTGCAGTGTGTGTGGTGGGCAGTGGATGGTGGCCTGTCTGGGTAGAGGTTCTGTGAGTGTGTGTGCTGGGGAGGGGAGTGCCCCTCTGTGGGCAGCTGTGCCTGCCCACCTCGGCCCCCAGCCCATCCAGCCAAAAATACAGCTGGGCTGAAACCCGATCCCCGCACCCGCCGCGCGCCGTCTGGCCTGCTCAAAGCAGCAGGCTCCCTGACGCCGGGTTCCCCCCCCCCCCCCGCCCCCCCCCCACCCCCCGCCTCCCACGCCCTGGGTGCACCCCCCTACCACCCCCAGGACCTGATGCAAAAGAGGCCTCAGAGCCAGGGTGGCCAAGCCAGGGAATCCCAGTCCTGGGCCCAGAGTCTGGGCCTGCGCTTTACCCCCTGCTATCAGTCAACCCCACTGCCCCACCAGAGCTGCCAGGGTGGCACAGGGCCCCGTCCAGCCTTCAGTAGACACCCTGCCCTGCCAGGCTTTAGCCTCTGTCCCAAGCCCCAGACACCCAGGCCCATGGGTTTTTCTCCGTGGGTTTGTATCTCAGCTCCAGGCCGCCTTGGGCCTCTATCTCCTAGACAAGACCCCTGCTAGCTGAATGCTAGCTGCCCAAGAGAGCGGGGGGCCTGATCCTGGGCCCCTGCTCCACTCCCCTCCTAGCTGACTTACTGTGGCATTAAAGCCAAGGAGTCTTGCTGCGGGCGTGGCAGAGTCATAGGCCAGTGGAGAGGTGGCAGGTCAGATGGGCAAGGCCCAGGACTTTCAGAATAAACTGAGAGGATGTTGGAGCCAAGCATGGCCGCCGGGGAAGGGCTCAGCTGGGAGTCAGGAGACCCAGGGTCTGGTCCGGGTGCTTGCTCTACAGGACAAGAAGGAGGCCTTCGCTGGCCCAGGACCTTTGTTTCTTTATCTACATATTGAAAGATTTGTAGATGAAGATTTGGTCCTGATGTCTTTTGGGGTGTTTTTCAGCTCTAAAGTTCTTTGAAATGTTTAGCCTGTGTCAGAACTCAGTTCATCAGTCCCTTGTACTCATTGTGCCCCAGCCCCTGGCAATTTGCCTCAAGATGGAGATTTGAAAATAACTTTAGCTGAGGCCAAGGGTGTCTGAAATGCCTCCTAGTTTAATTCTACGAGCTCCAGTTCCGGCCGTAACCCATGCCTGTGGCCATCCTTGGGCTCACACAGCCCTGGGCCTTCTGGCAGGCAAGCCAGCCCCTCACCTGCTCTATAGCTTCGCCTTCTCTGCCCAGGGCTGAGAGGGGCCAGGGGCCAGCTTCCTGCAGGGCCTCAAGGCTCAGAAGAAATCTGGCTCCAGCCAGCAAGCCTGCAGCACCCAGGTTCCTGCTCCCCACTGGCCCCTGGCCCACACCCTTGGCCGGGCCCCAGAGAGTGTGTGTCTAGGAAGAACCTGGTGGCTGGAGAGAAACACATGGAAAGTTCGGCGTTTGGAAATATCGAGGGTGTATGTCCATGAGCTGAGGAGGTTACCCTGAATCCTAGGCAGGTAGATGGGCTGGAGGGTGATGGGGCTGGAGGTGGGGCCTGAGTGTTGGTGGGGAACAGAGCTCAGGCTAGGGACATGACAGCCCCAAGCTTGGGAAGACCTGGCCTCACAGCCCTCAGCCTGGGACAGGGTGGAGAAGGACCCTCAGTTGTCCACAGGAGATTAAGGAAACACAGCCTCCTTCCCCTCCTGCTGGAAACGCCCCAGCACAGCCTCCCTGGCCGGCTTCTCGAGTGTTTCTTCCTTCCACCGTCAGAGAGGCACCTTCCCAGGCTGCCTCCCAGCATTGTGCAAGGCCCGGAGGAGAACCAGGAAGTGAAACTGGGTGAAACAGAAAGCTACATGGACCTGCCACGTTCCCACATTGTCGTGGGTCACTCTGCTTCCCGGTAGTGTCACGTCTTCTGGTCACTGGAACCCACCTAGCCCAGGAATCAGGACGCTCCTCAAGGGTTTTATCTCCACTGGATTTGGGTGTTAAAAGTCTCCTGAGACTCCACAGCCAGAAACTGAAGGCAGCAGCTCACCAAAGGCTGGAAAATCCCTAAGAGGAGAAGGTCTGAGGCAAGAGGCGGAGTGATGGGGGAGGGTTGAGGGAAGGGGCCGGAGTTGGGAGCACAGCTGTGGCCAGGGAGAGGAGGAGGCATTGGTGAGAGCGGTCTGCATAATGCTTCTGAGTTCAGGACGGTGTTCCAAGGCCGAAATTACAGTCTCTTAACCTGGAGATACTCTTCGTGGGAGCATTTAGCTCGTGCTTAGCACATAGTAGGTCCTCAATAAAGCATGGTTGAAGGTCCGGAGCTCCTGCTGAGTCTTCGCAGGCCGGTGCCTCTGCACTGGCCCATCGCAGAGGGAACCAGAGGGGACGGGGAAGGAGAGGGTCCCAGGGTATCCTGCCCGGGCTTTGCCCGTGAAAGACAAGTCACAGCTGGCGCAGGCCCCTGCTTGGAGCCAAATCTCAGTTCCCACCGCCAGCTGGGAGTAGCCTGCTCGCGGCGCCTCCGCATCGCCCTCTGCTGGCCGAAGGGCTACCCAGCGGCCGCCTCCCGCCCCGCCCCGCCCCCGCGCGGGGATCGCCTGTTTTTACCCGCCCAGGAGCTCCCCACCGGGCGCCCGCGTGCGTGAGCTTCCCTATGCTTCTGTTCTGTAGGGACTGTCCGCCGAAAACCACATCTAGAAAGGAGCTGCGTCCTCACTCAGAAGCAGCTTGGACCCGCCCGCCTTAATTCCCTGTTCTCAATCCCCTCCTCAAATGGGGCCCCCGCCTTGCCTGGAATGAGAAGGCGACCGCCATCCTCGGGATCCCACCTTGGCGTCCTGGGCGGGCTCAGACAGCACCCTTCCCTCTCCCCACGGGAAACTGAGGGCGGGGACATACCATGGGGGAGGCAGGTACTGAAAGAAGACAAGAGGTGACTTTTCCATTTGACCGCCCAGCCTAGAAGATCTGTGCCTTTGCAGTAGAGGCCCCCTTAGGGAGCCACAGAAAGGGGTACCCTTGGTAAAAGGGTATCCCAATTCGTTTTGCCACGAGGACCTGCCCTCCTCGCAGCAGCCCCCAAGGCGGCCTCAGGCCTGGAGCCGGCTAGGACTGTGGATGCCAATGTCCATGGACCTCCACAAGAGACAGTACCCTCCTTCCCAGAGGACCTCTTACACCAGCTTTGGGGCAATAAGAGCGTTCCTGGCATCCTGCAAAGGCAGCTTTTCCCTTCCTCCTGTGCCTGCCAGTCCCTGGTCCTTAAATCCCCACGCTGATGTCCACATTATGGTTGGCGTGTGGGCAGAAGGTCCGTAGGAATATTACGGAAAAGAAATCACAAGAAGACAGGCTGGGATCTGGAAAAGGAGAATTGGCTCGTTGCCCTCCAGGGTTAGTCGGTGGGAAGTCGTGGCATCTAAGCCCCTGCCTCCACGTAGAGCCTCAGGGAACCTGCCTGCCTTTGAAAGAAGAAAACCCATCAACTTCTTCGCAGCTTTGTTTTGCTTTCCTGGGGGACCCCAGGCTCCAATTTCCTTATCTACATAAAGAGGGAGAGGATCATTTGTGTGGTAAGGATTCTCTCTGAGGGGTGATGAGTGTCTGTGTAACGTGCCCAAATGAGAGTGAAGCTGGTTCCTGGAGCATGAGCTTTGATGCTGAGGACCACGCCCTCCCCCGCCAAGGCCTTGTGGTACCCAGTTCTTCCTATTCTCCCAGTCACCATTCTCCCTCAGTCCTGCCCCACATCTACACTCAGAGGGTGGCTCTTCTCCCTCTAGAGCCTCTCTCACATCCAGATTAACAGACCAAGAAGTGGCAAATCCCCATGCCTAAAAGATCCAGCCCTAGGGATGGAGCGGAGGGGTGCACGTCCTGAGTCCAGTCTCCCAGGGCGGGGACGATGCTGACTGTGCAGTCATCACTCCGGGTGGGCGACTCTTGGAACGAGCTGCTTCTACCAGGGCCACGTTCAGATTGCTAGAAATAGAGGCAGAAGGCTTCTTGTCTTTGCATATGATCTGCATAATGTCATAGACACACAGTCTATTTTCAGGCAGCTTTCAGGTTAAAGTGTTGTCACTGCTGCCCTGTGGGTGTCACGTCTGGATGAGTCTCTTCTCTGTTCTTTTTCACCCACCCACTCTCACTGACCTAGATCCCCAACTGCAGGAGCAAGTGGTGAGGTGGGGGGCAGAGCAGGCTTGTCCGGGAAGCCGGGGGTGGGGGGCAGGGCAAGAGGCACACTGGCATTTCCTTTACTACCACCAGCACCACCAAAAGCAGAGTGGGGCTGCTCAGGGGCAACTGATAGGCAGAGGCAAGGAACGGGAAGCAAGGTGGCCCACATTCTGTTGTACACAAACCTTTCCCGCCTCTTCTACCAGAACAGCCAGTTCCCATATGGTTGATTCAGTCTTCTGCCAGTTTGACGGAAGACATCTAGATAAACCTGTTCCTCTCGGCCACCATAAAGCTGGCTTGGCCCAGCTATCCGTCTTGGACGTTTACTTTCAGCACTAAGATTTGCTCTTAGCCTCCTGTGAAATCTGACCCTCAGTCTGTCCCTCTCCCGGGAGCCCCATCTGGGAGACGGGTATCCTAGACTGATGATCAATGTTTTTAAAGCACCTGGCACATAGTAGGAGGTCAATCAATGCTAGAGTCCCCTCTTCTCCTTCAGAAGTCTGTGCCAAGCACCTAATTGTCCCAGGCCTGGATGCCCAGAATGGGCACCATGCTCTGAGGGATAAAGGCAAACATGCTAGAAGGGCCAGTTAGGGTGACTTACTAAGACGTCTGTTGACCTTGGCAGGTCACTTGGCCTCTCAGTTAGAAAAGAGGGGGGCTGGTGGGTTTTAGGGGCAAGGACAATTCTCATGTCACAGCTTGAGCCGTTTGGTGACCTGTCCTTGGTCACAGAAGGCTAGGGTTGGAGCCCCGGCAAAGGGATCATCAGGGCCTGTCTGCTGTCGTGTCTTACTATGGAGACCTAAGGATTCACCAGATGCCAAGGTGAGGAGCCTGGGAGACTTGCTGGGTCCTGGGAATCATGAGACCACTCAGTCAGGCTGGAGAGCAGCACCGTACCACCCAGAGCTCCTGGCCCCTGGCGTCCAGTCCCCCTGGACCTGCCTCATCCCCTTAGGCAGGCGTTTCCTGTTGATAAGAAGCTCAGTCAACAAACACTGATAAAGAGATGAAAAAAGGAAATTAACAGGGCTTGGGTATAATGGGCATTTTGTCTGCCTTTTCTACCCTTCTTCGTTCTCCCTGCACTCCTCCCCCACTGCTTCCCAGAACTGAGGCAAAAACATACCCCCCACCTCCACTATGGGCCCTATTTTGCAGTTTCCAGGAATTTAGCCTTACAGAGCCCTTAGAAGCAGGGCCTGGTTGACCTGGGGGCAGGAGGTGGGTAGGAGTTCAGAGGCAGGAAACTCTGGGTGCTGCGAGGCCCCCAAGTCCAGGGAAAAGGGCAGTGGCAGCAGGAAGGAAGGACTGTGAGGCACAGGTTGCATCGACGACCTTCCCTCTTCCCTTCGCCTCCCTCCCCGCCAGAGGCCTGGATCCAAGTCGTGGTTAGGTGGCTGCATAGTCTATAATTAGTGGATTTTCCATCATTTAAGTCTCGGGCTTATTACTGGAAAATCTCATTAATTTTGATTCTACTAATTTGGAGTCTATGATCCTTTGGGACAAGAAGCTGGACTGATGTTTAGGGAAAGAAAACAAACAAGTTTGCGAAGCGTGTCCAACTGCCCTTCTTGGGTTTGGTTTTTTTTTTTTTTTGCTGTACGTGGGCCTCTCACTGCTGTGGCCTCTCCTGTTGCGGAGCACAGGCTCCGGACGCGCAGGCTCAGCGGCCACGGCTCACGGGCCCAGCCGCTCCGCGGCATGTGGGATCTTCCCGGACCCGGGCACAAACCCGTGTCCCCTGCATCGACAGGTGGACTCTCAACCACTGCACCACCAGGGAAGCCCCTTGGGTTTGGTTTTGTAAGCTCA